GTCAGCCCCCTTCGCCATCGCCCCACCATCACCGCTTACCCCAGCTTCGCCCGAGCCCCCACCGCCACAGTCAGCTCTTCCGTCGTCGTCATCCCCAAGCCAAATCCGCCAAATCTGTCATCCCCGAGCCCCGAGCCAAATCTGCCAGATTTGGGAGACAGAGAAGACATAGGAGGAGGAAGAAGAAGAAAAAGAGGGGGGACTGGGGGAGAGAAAAGAAGCAGGCACATATCTGATTGAGAAGATGGAGGAAAAAGAAGAAAAAGAACAAGAAGATGGGGGGAGGAAGAGAGAGAAGAAAAGGGTGAAGATTGTGGAATGCCGAGAATTGAGAAAGAAGGGGGAGTCCGAGAGAAAGAAAAGGGAGTGATTGGGTAAGGGGTATTTAGGGTAGTTTGTGTGTTAAAATTGAAATGTGAACTTTATTTTCAGACGGGAAAAAAACGAGAATAGGTAACTTTATTTCAGGATGGGGGAGTATACAACCAGCGAAATATCATCTGAAAAAACATCTCACCTCCATACAAATAGGAACATACTCCTTATGAGCTTTGAGAATAATAGCCTTGCTGCTTGTTTCAATACAAACTGTGTGCCAGTTCAATGTCAAAGATCAAACAAGTGGAACTTTGTTTTTTGTGGCTGCCTTAATATCTGCAATAATGTCAATTCTCTAGTTCATACAAACTTTATACCAAAAAAATGATTTACAAACCAAGAAGAATGGTAAAAATGGGGATGAATACACCATATTTGGTTGCAAGTACTGTATTTTGCACTCACAAAATATGCATTTTTCATTTTTGACAAAAATGAAAATCATATCACACTACTAATTAAAGATTTGCTATTTTTTTTGCTTTGGGGAATGATGGAATAAAGCAAAATGGCTCTGTATACTGTTTGCGCTTCTTTGAATAATGAAGTAGCAATTAATCAATGTAACTTTCGACACTCATCATGGGTCATCCGGAAACAGCCGTGTTTTAAACATAGGGGGTCGTACATCTACCCCCCCCCCCCACCACTCCGCAATGGGCAGGAAGCCTTTGAGGCACTATGCTAATGTTATTGTTGCGCTACTAATTAATGAACTAACTCCCATCTGTCATTATGGTTTGTGTTTTGTGAATGAAAAAAAATCTCATTTACCTTACCTAAACAAAAGAGAATGTGTGAAAAGTATAAATATAGGGATGTTCTGTCAATAAAAGTTGTAGACCGTACCCAAAATGGTGGGGTAAGTTAGCAGCATAGACAACATAGTGCAATATATTTCTCATTTTATGGCATTTTACATGCTTCCTTGGGTAATCACCTGAGGTATGATTCACACATTTTGAGCAAAGATCTTACCTTCAACAATATCCGAGAAATTTATGCAGCCAGACTTGTGCATTGCCTGGAGTGTTTGAGTTAGTGCCTCTGTTAAAGCAGGCTTTTTCTCTTTTAATTTTTCCTGCCCAAAAAATGTCAGGGAAAAAAAAGTTACAAATGAGGTGCAGGGAAACAAAAATCTTCGAAAATTTAAGTTATATCAAGTAGCAGCAGGATCATAACACCCTATCATTAGTGCCAGAGCTTTAATATAAGACTTCCAGCGTGAAAAGGAGATAGATTTCCAGCGTCTCATGCTTTGTAGAGGTTGGAACGTTGGATCTACCACTATGGTGATGCAAAAATGGCACTCTAATTACAGCCCCTCAGACGAATGTCCTATTGTGCCAATATGGGTGACCATACACAACCTTCATATACATCTTCAAGATCATAGAGCTATTAATCTCATTGCCTCCAATCTCTGAAATCCTTAAATGCTAATCCCTCCGTCCCACTGTCTTTGTCTACTTACCTTTTGGCACACCATCCAATGCACTTCTTTAATCCATTTTATCTTGTAATTTGTATATTAAAAAATTATAAAAATTATATATTAATAATCTATATGAAGACGAATCAAACAAGATCACACATGACTATTTTTAGGCTTACACATTGAGAGAATTTGATGAGTCAAACTGCTTAGATGAACAGTTCCAAAAGTCAAAACTGGACAAAGACAATGGGACGGAGGTAGTAGATGATAGGACAATGAAGTTAATCAATCCCCAGTCTGCTCGAATATGTGTTGAGCATGGTAGTCAAAATCGCGATCTGACTCGTACGATTCTACGAGTCCAGGGATCGCCAGCAACTTCCCGATCTGACTCGCCTCCAGAATCGCGATGGTCAATAGGCTCGGTCGGATTGTCGATCCGGATCGGGAAATCGTACGATCGCAATAGATCGGCGATTGAACGCAGCGTCGCTTCAAAATCCCAATCCAATCGCGACTTTGAATTTCGCGACTCCCAATCGCAACTCAGCTTCTGTCGCGACTCCCAATTCTAGTCGCAACTCCCTTCCAATTCCAAGCTATTATTTATCTGCTTCTATTTATTTGCAATTCTTATCTGCCTATCATTTATCTCTGCTTCTAGCCTTCCCTTTCTGCTTCGATGCTTTCTTCTGCTTCTACTCGAAGCCTTCTCTTTTCAATTAGACAACTATAATGTCAATTCAGGATTATAATTTTAGCATTGATAGTTATGTTTAAGATGTTTAAGAATAAAGTTTTAAGTCATTTGTGATCCAACTTGAACTTGTGTTATGTTTTATTAAAATTTTACATATACATATATATATATATATATATATATATATATATATTATTTATATATATATATACTGGTGGTCCCAAAGTGGTGAAATACAAAGTCTAGAGGGGGGGGTGAATAGACTTTGTTACAGATTTAAAATCTTTTTCGTTTCTTTTAAAAATGTGAAAGTAAGTGTTAATCTAGAGTTCTTGTGAGCTTTAGATTGTATGCGGAATTTGGTGGGTAGAGTGAGCAGTAATCAATATGGATGGGTTAGTTTTCACAGTTAATATAATTGTAAGTAAGAGTGAAGATAAAAGAGAGAGAGACACGCAAACTTTAACGAGGTTCGAAGGTGGGGTAATCCTTCTACGTCCTCAA